AACATGTTCAAATACTGTTTAAACATTTTGTTCGTAAAATGTTTAAATTTGCGTCGCCCCTTCGACATTTTTGGGTTATAGCACATGACTTTCTGCTTATTACTATGTACTGTCGCGTCGTCTACGTGAGCGTTTGTTGCTCTCCTCGGGGCGCAAATCCGGGACCTCGCGATTTGCAATTAAACTCGCGAACACGAATATAACGCGACGATCGTACGCCAACTTAATATTGTACGGCTGGTTTTTAAATGAATGTGGACCTGAGCTAAGCTGCTCTTATGGTCGGGTGATTTCTGTTGAAATCCGTGCGCGATATTCTCTTGCTGAGAATTGACTGGTTGAAATTAGTGAATCAAGTCGACTGGTTAAAATGTGGGAACCAAGTCGACCGATTGAAAGTAGTGAACCAAGTGACGCTCTTCGAGGATCGCAAAGCTCTCGAAGGTAGCGTCCGCGTGCCTCCCTCGCAGAGTGGGAGTTTAACAAATTTGAGATTCTCGAATCAGAGAATCGTGTGGGAGGAGTAATGTTGGAAATTCTGAAATTACTTGAGTTTTCTCCGGAAAAACCCCCAAAAAATGTAAAAGAGGGATTCCTCCAATACCGATTGGTTAACTCCCTTGGACGTGCCAAATTTTTATGTGCCGCCCTTTACTTCATCCTTGAGGGTCCCAAGTGACTCGCACATGGGGTCGTCCGAGATCGACAAGAGTTGCCCGGCCACGGAAAATTCCAAGTACCACTAGGTAGTCGAACACTTGGGCGCCTTTGGAGTCAACCTTTTTATGGGTTTATTAGGGTTGGACCATTTGAAACCGGAAATTTAGCAAATCCAAGGGTTTTTTTGAGAATAAATGAAACCGTGAGCGTGAAGCAATTTACGTCGCTCGGTTCGACGTTTAAAATAAATTGCTACGACCGCTGTAAAGCGATAAATAAACGCGAAGGAAAGATGTTCTCGGCATTGGGGCTGAAATCCTGAGAATTTGATAACTCTGATTGTTAAACATATGGTTGAATATAATGTGTCAGGATGTATGTACGCAACAACTATGCAAGTACTGGAAGGCCGGGTAAACGCTACTATCTTGTAAAGAACTCGGTTTTAGTGACTCGCACGAGTTACTGGCACCGTGTAAATTCGCTTTTAGGTACTGAAGACAGTCGCGAAAAAAACGTATAAACTATGCTTGCGCTACATAATAGTTATTTATGCACCAGCTGCAAAAAGTAGCGGTCTGCCGTATGAATACGACGGCTGCCGAACAAGGCTAAGCCAAGTTTCCCGTTACTAGTCGGTACAAATTATTACGTTATTATTCTTACTTTGTCTAATTAACTGTTTTACAACGAACGGTTCATTGACCGTTTCGTGGACATCTGATATATCCGACGCTAGGCGCGATATAATTAATTGTTTCATAAAACGTTAATTAGATTATAAATACCATTTATCATGCAGAAAAATAATATTGTAATCATTACATATGCTCGCGGGTAGAAGTACTGGTGTAACCTTAACAACAATTATTGTAGATATAATTACAAGTTTTTATCTTTTTAACCATTGCGGCTGTAGCAGCAACTGCAGAATTCTTGTAAATAAATTGTAGTTATATTTGCATCTGATAGGGTTACATATATAACATTGGGAAGTAAAAATTACACGTATAAAGGCACGGGTAAAAATGACCATCACAGTTGTAAAATTTAAAAGCAAGAACTCTATTGAAAACCGTAAAATATACCGTATCACTAGTATTTCTTACAAGTGTGAACTGTTATTGTTCCTATTGTGCGTTTAAGGGGTTACACCACTTTGACCCACCCAAAAATTACGGTTTTTCAAGAATTTTTTTTTTCAGAATTAAAACGTTTTTATCCCAATTAAAAAGTACAGTAAGGTATCATACTACTATTAAACAAAAAAAAATCCTTTTTTTTTGTATTTTTCTTATTTACAAAAATGGCGGCTTGAAAGACGATTTACCGGAGCGCTGCGAAAATCGATGATCGTGCGGTGGGCACGATAACTCGGTCCAGATTTAAGTTAGAACAATAAACGAAAAAGAATTAGTTTCTGTAGCCCAAAAGCTAGCGAAATACGTAGCCGTTTTCAAAAGTATGCATTTTTCACAAAATGGCATCGATTTGAAAGGAAAGATACGTATTTTGTCCTAAATTTCGTTAGTTAATGTTGCATAAAAAATGCGAATATCAATACATTGAAAAAACCATACGTATTTCGCTAGATAAACATATGACGAATAAAATAAAAAAAGAATCAAGACGATTGATTGAAAATTGGCGGAGCTAGAGTGCCCACCGATTTTTAAAATGCAGTTTTATGAAAAACGCGTTTGCACCTATACACTTGCCCACCGCACGATCACCGATTTTCGCAGTGAGCGAGTTTAATAGTAGTATAATACCTTACTGTACTTTAATTAGGATAAAAACGTTTTAACTCTTAAAAAAAAATTCTTGAAAAAACCGTAATTTTTGGGTGCGTCAAAGTGTAACCCCTTAATGGCAGATAAAAGGAAATCCGTGTCGCTTAGTTTTTAGTCTATTATAACATATTATAAAAGAAATCAAATCGGAGAGATCGATCTGGGATACCTTCCTTGTAAATAATAAAGTCAAACAATTAGTTTAGGATTTCATGAAATGGTTAACTATGGGCATAATGTCATTGAACGTATTATACTTCTCTTTTAAAAATTTAGTAGCAAATAATGAGTGATCGTTGTATTTTTCTTATGTGCATAAAAGTATAACGAGATGTAACATCTTGTAGTATCAACACTCAACTGGGATACTTCATTACGGTAAAGGCTTAATTAATCATGAACAAGCAATTTTAACAATCTATTGCTTCAGTCAGTGAAGTATTGTATAATTTTGAGTACCGAGTAGTTATCGAAAAGGAATCACTTAGCGTCTAACATATTAATAAGTGACAATTAAATAATAAATAATTGATGTTGTAGTAATAACACAAAGAAGCAATGAATCTGCAAAGCGTGGAATCATATAAAAAGAAGATTTCCGATTAGACGAGACGATATTATGTGATGTACATATTTGGCCCTGTTATATGATATCAATAATTCTTTTTAAACAGTGAATTTTGGAAGGGAGATTCGTCACAATCCTATAGCCATTTTTTTACACGGAAGTGTTTTTAGGAGGATTTAGTTGGCATTGAATGCCACAGATGGCACAGGTTGGCATTCTACACTTAGAGTATTAAAAATCATGAATGCAGAGGATTTATTAAGTTTCATTTGGAATTCTTTATGATCATTGCATGGAAACAACATATGGAGTATGCCATTCCGTACAAAGATCAATGTAATACAACAGAGTTGACAATATAAATATGAACGTCGATAATGTAAGTAGAGGAATCTTTCTTACCAACGTCGATTAAATTTCTTAATAGGTTTCACTTCACCTTAATGCTTGTGTGAATATTAATGTCATTGGCATTAAAGATTAAGAGTTAAATGGAACACCCTGGCATTAATTTCATTTAAGAGTTAAATGGGACACCCTGAATGTATAACAATTAAATATATTACTAGCATAGTTTTTTTTTTTTTCATAAAAAATCACTTCTTTGATTTATATGAATTATTAAACAACTATTGATCAATTTATGATATGAACAAAAGTTTGCGCAAGGAGAGCAGAAAGTAGATGTGAAATTAATCATCGTCTTCGGTAACCTCAACATCAGAGAGAGAATGACAACGGATAAAAACATAAAAAATGTCATTTGTAGTGCATTTAATGTGAATCTATATTTTGCAGATTAGGCCCAGCAATGTCACAATGTACCCTTTATAGACTGTCACAGCTTGCCTCGCGCGTGGTAGATTTACGTTTCCTTGCTTAATATAGTTTGTGTCCAATAAGTGAAAGTAGGTTAGATTTGAACTGAAATACTATGATGATAATACCACATGCTATGATGAATCAAACTAGGTAACCTTATGATGATATGAAATGCGCTAAGAAATGTAATCGACGTTGATGAATTAAAATTCATCTGTACCCTTTTTGGTGGTACCGCCATTTTGAATACTCAAGTGGTAACATAGGCTGACACGCCACGTTCTCGACATTTGCGTTTATATTAACGTTTGTTATACTCTACGTTGACAAATACACGAAATGAAGCGTTCCTTATGTCGTTTTGGAAGAATAATTATAAAGAAATCGAAGGAAAGCTGTCGAAATCCCGTCGATTCACGATTTTCGATACCCTAAAGGATCACTGACGCCATCTGCAATTAAATTTTTGCTCTAAAAACACGTGATATCCACCGGGCATGCACCAGCGCTCTCTTGCAATGGTTGATGAAAGTATTTTCCATATTTTTCCATATTTTTCCATCTGGGATCATGGCGATATTATGAATCAAACTAGGTAACCTTATGATGATATGAAACGCGCTAAGAAATATAATCGACGTTGATAAATTAAGATTCATCTGTACCCTTTTTGGTGGTACCGCCATTTTGAATACTCAAGTGGTAACATAAGCTGACACGCCACGTTCCCGACATTTGCATTTTTATTAACGTTTGTTATACTCTACGTTGACAAATTCACGAAATGTTCATAAATTAAAAACTATAATTTCTGTATAAGTTTATAAATTATTGAAACTAAATATATCATTGAGATTTTCAAGAAATATTTCAGACATCTTCGAATGAAATGTACAAGATATCTTACAAAATCTGTCGCTTGAGATATTTAGCAAAGATTACAAACAAATGTTTAGAAATTATTCCATGCTACTAGGAATATATATACATTGTTGCCCATTGGGTTTCCGCATAAAATCAAATGGTGACCGAGAGTCACCTCTCGAGTGCAAAGGATTAATACTCCTGCGACGCTAATATAAATGTCTGACATGTTTAGCATATTGAGATACGTTTCGTTTAAAGAGCTCTTATGATGTGTTTCAATGGTCCACTAGAACAGAGCAGGAGAGACGACCTGGAAGCCTTGGGCCACATGTTCATGTACTTTTTGCGGGGGAGTCTGCCATGGCAAGGATTGAAGGCCGACACCCTGAAGGAACGGTACCAGAAAATCGGAGACACGAAGAGGGCCACCCCGATCGAGGTCCTCTGCGAAGGCCACCCCGAAGAGATGGCCAACTACCTGCGCTACGTCCGGAGATTGGACTTCTTTGAGACGCCGGACTACGAGTACCTGAGGAAGCTCTTTCAGGACCTATACGATCGGCGCGGGTTCCTTAACGACGGAGAGTTCGACTGGACAGGCAAGACAATGGTGGGTGTCAAGTGATTACGAGCACGGAATCATGCAATCGTGGCCCAACACCCTTTCACTAAACCCGCGGGATGGATCGTCTGGTTAACGATATTTCACAAGTAGAAGCAAAAACGTCCGAGCGAAAACAAAGGAGAAACGACGAACACCGAGCGATAGGTCCGAATCTAGGATACCCGTTTAAATCTTGTTCCCGGATTTTTCGATGGAATATTTCAAGACGCGTATATCAATGATCGCCGACGCTCCCGGCGTTCCTCGCGTTTCTCAAATGTAACAGCACTTTGAAAGCACCGTCTAGCATCTTTGATTTGCCTTTTCGCCTCCGTTCGCGTCAGTCGAAGAAGTCGAGGAGTCGTTGAGTCGCGCCTTTCCTACCTCGGTTACCTCCTAATTAATTGACTACTCGATATCATCTTTTCAAGGTGAGTATATCTCAGCTCGCCCACCCTTAGACAAGCATGAGGCGTTCAACCGCTAGGACAGAGCCTAGCTCATTAATTTTTCGACTTTGCATGCTGCCCTCATTGTATTCTATAGCCAGCTAACTTCGAACAACTCAGAGCGTTAAGAATGGCGGCGCCATCTCACATAGGAAAGACCAAGTCCGACAAGGTTGGTAAAAGGCCCGTTTCTTGTCCTCAATCTGTGCTTATCGAACTTGTTAAACAGGCGCGGGCGTGCTAACGGAGACTTGAAAAATATAGATAAATGAACACGGTACACATGGTAGTATGTTTCCTTAATACGAATACTTCTACGTAAGTGTTTTGTAAGTGGATAATAACGCAAACGCCCTGGTGTTATCTCTTGGGCAGTTACCAGCTGGGCTCCGCGTTAACATAACGTTCTCTTGCCCGCTTGATATCGATCGAGGGTCTGTTAACACTATGCTGTCCGGTAACACCACGTTGGTGTCCCACGAAAACAGTCGAACAAATATCGGTGTCAATAGGTTGGAGTCCCACGAAAACAGTCGAACAAATGCCGGTGACAATAGGTTACTGTCCCACGAAAACAGTCGAACAAATGCCGGTGATAATAGTCCCACGAAAACAGTCGAACAAATGCCGGTGATAATACGTTGGTGTCCCACGAAAACAGTCAAACAAATGTCGGTGACAATAGGTTAGTGTCCCACGAAAACAGTCGAACAAATGCCGGTGACACCACGTTGGTATCCCACAAAAACAGTCGAACAAATGCCGGTAACAATACGTTGCTGTCCCACGAAAACAGTCGAACAAATGCCGGTTACAATAGATTACTGTCCCACGAAAACAGTCGAACAAATGCCGGTGACAATAGATTGGAGTCCCACGAAAACAGTCGAACAAATGCCGGTTACAATAGGTTAGTGTCCTAAGAAAACAGTCGATCAAATGCCGGTAACAATACGTTGGTGTCCCACGAAAACAGTCGAACAAATGTCGATGACAACACGTTGGTGTCGTGCATGACAGGCGCAATGATCCAAACGAGTCCTACCGGCGCCAAACAAAAGATTCCTGATTACGTGTGCGGACGGCATAGTGTTAACCCTTTATCTATCGGAAACTTATTATCACAAAACGTACCGGTACATTACACATACCAATTCTTACCATAAGGTGTCATTAGGCCCCTAATGAAATAAACGTTGATTTTTAGAAAGAAATTCTTAATTCATTAAAGTAAAGTCCAAACATAACTTCTAATTTCTAATAAAATTATTAACCATATCTTTTTATTTTTGAAAATAAAATAATTAATTACACGTTTTACATATGACTGGTTTCTCCTGGATTTTAAAGTAAATTTTGAAAGGGTACTTGGTACGTTTAGTATTAATTGGCTTTACGATACCCGTGATCGGCATTTACTTCCAAATTCGTCGGTGAATAAAGTGTTAAAAAGCGGTCGTAGAAACGTCCGTCGGTTAGTGAACTTTAGTACACATTGTACCAACGAGCCAATTGTAAGTTATTTAATTTTCTTTCCTACCTTATCGCATTCTTAATTTTTCCTACTCTTTTTACATAAACCGTTCTATATTTTGTAGAAGAAATACAGATACTGAAAAGAGCCACCGATCGAGTGACGGTCGCCATCTCTGTCTAGGCTTAACCCGACCGTCTCAGTACGTTATAAATAAATGTTTGTAGGTAAATTCGTACATGAAATCGTAGTCAACTGGCTAGAATTGGTCTTATTATACAAGATCGCTCCTGTTCCATCGTAGTCTCACATAACTCTTCTAATTGCAGTCCACCCCGGTCGGATCGTTGCAGACAGGACACGAAATTATAGTATCACCGAACCGCGACCGACACCCTGCCACTTACAAGGTAATTAACGCTCTGCTTTTACACATTTCGGCATGACTTTGTGTGGTTTACTTTTTCCTTACTCAAATAATCACGTTCGCATAACACTCCGTTTCTAGTGACGCTCCGTTACCTAGTGACACGAGATATTGACCAGAAATCGACAGACAAAATTGACGGACTAATATCTTAATCGTATTTCCTTTACATTAAAAGTACAAACAGCATATGCCGTTAAAGATGGTAACCACCAGGGATAGAATAATGGATTTTACTCCGTCTAGTTCGGACTATTTCCCAAATCGTTATGTCCAGAAAGTAAAGCAGGAGTAGATAAAAGTACTAATGGTTGTCGAGCGATTTATTTACATCGATCTCTATTCACTTCTTTAAATCTAGGAAAGCGATGAATTTGAGGAAGATGTAATACTTATGACGGATGCGGTTCGCGTCGAGATGCACGGCTCTTATGTAAGCCACCTCTCATTTTTACAGTTCTCTGTAAATATTCTAAAATCGATCGCTTGAGCTTTTCGAAGCTGGTAGACTTGACGAACATAGATGCGACGTAATAACGCGTTTCGGACTGGCAACGTAGTCTATTGTTGTTACGATTTACTCGAGATATACATACGCGAAACCCCCAGTATACCTCAATCTATGTACCCCTCCTCAACATGCAGTGGCGGACATGAGTGCCTCCCCTGCAGATACGACATCGCCTGTGCAGGATGGGAAGGCATCGATGTCTCCCAGTGTACAATGGCGGACATGAATACCTCCCCTGTAGATACGGCATCGCCTGTGCAGGATGGGAAGGCATTGATGTCTCCCAGTGTACAATGGCGGACGTGAATGTCTCCCCTGCAGATACGGCATCGCCTGTGCAGGATGGGAAGGCATCGATGTCTCCCAGTGTACAATGGCGGACATGAATACCTCCCCTGTAGATACGGCATCGCCTGTGCAGGATGGGAAGGCATTGATGTCTCCCAGTGTACAATGGCGGACGTGAATGTCTCCCCTGCAGATACGGCATCGCCTGTGCAGGATGGGAGGGCATTGATGTCTCCCAGTGTACAATGGCGGACATGAATGCCTCCCCTGCAGATACGACATCGCCTGTGCAGGATGGGAAGGCATTGATGTCTCCCAGTGTACAATGGCGGACATGAATGCCTCCCCTGTAGATACGGCATTGCTTGTGCAAGATGGGAAGGCATTGATGTCTCCCAGTGTACAATGGCGGACATGAATGCCTCCTCTGTAGATACGGCATCGCCTGTGCAGGAAGAGAAGGTATTGATGTCTCTCAGTATACAATGGCGGACATAAGTGCCTCCCCTGCAGATACGACATCGCCTGTGCAGGATGGGAAGGCATTGATATCTCCCAGTGCACATTACGACCGGTCCCTTTTAATACTAGATATGATTACATTGAAGACCTAAACGCCTTCCTTATGATTTCATCCTTATATATTCGTATATTCGTCTAGTGCTTATTCGAGTAGTCGTCCGAGCTCTATTACCTACAAAGTACGTATGATCGTAAAATCTAACTTCTAAGTTTTAGTAGCAATCATTTCGCTACAAATGCCGAAATCGTTCCACAAAGATTGATTACATCAATGGTGTTATTTGGGTAGAGAAAGAACAAAAAGATGTCAATTAATTTAATTAATTTCTTTTTTATTAATTTCTTGTAATTGACCAACGGCGTCATGTGCCACATTTAGCGGCAATGAAATTATTGCTCTCAGAGCGGTCACAGAGCACGGGATATCCGAGAATTTCACAACATACATTTATAAAACATTTCTCGATATTTTCCAGATCCCCTTGATCCCAGATATTTCTCAATAATCTTCGATTACTCCAGTATTCTAAAGTGTTGCGCCAACGCCCTAAAAGTTTTCTTTTTTTTTTCGGTTTAAAGCTTTCAAAAGACGTGACCTATCAAAAATATGTGTTGCCGAAACCATCTTACAAAGAAGGTATCCCAGGTCGATCCCTCCGATTTGATTTCTTTTATAATATATTATAGTAGACTAAAAACTAAGCAACACGTATTTTTTTTAATCTGCCATTAAACACTTTAAGGGGGTGAAACCACCATCCAAAGTAAGGCATATCAAGGGGCGATTTGGCAGTTTCACCCACAAAAACATAATATTTTTTAACCAATCCACCTGGAAGAGCTTTCTCATAACGAGAAATGAAAAATATAATTTTCTAAATTAAAAAAAAAATTAAGGGGGGACCCCTCACAGGCCTTACTTTGGATGGTGGTTTCACCCCCTTAAAGGGTTTAATGGCAGATAAAAAAAAATACGAGTCGCTAAGTTTTTAGTCTACTGTAACATATTATTAAAAAAATGAAATCGGAGAGATCGACCTGGGATATCTTCCTTGTAAGTTTTAGTACCAATCGTTTTGCTACAAATGCCGAAATCGTTCCACAAAGTAAGTTATGTAGCATACTAATTCACTTTGTATAGGAAAGTGGACCATTCCATTCGACGAGTCTTATTACCTATATTGATTATATTATTTCTTGCAGGCACCGATGTAATGATCAATTGTTAACATCATCCGTGGACGATCTTGACATTCTTCGCAATCTATCTTTTGCATTTGGTTTCTTACTTTGAACGAAATCCCGCGTTTTGTTCTTTGTCTTTTGTTATACCGCCGTATTGACTTCGTCACTGACTACGAGCTTCCGATATTGCAAAGTTCATTCGAATTATCTAGTATTTTTATTTATCGAATATTTTTGACCAACGGTGGCATTTCAAGAAAAGTGACATTTTTGCGGCAATGCTTTGGTTTTTTTAAAGACATGTAGGTTTACGTAGCTTGACGGTAACGAGATTCCGAGGATCATGAAATATACATTACAATAGATTGGCAGGGTCAAATTTAAAAGGAAACGGTTGAGAAATCGATATGAACACGCGCGAGTGAGTATGCAGATAAAAAGTATAAAGGTTAAAGCACATTAGAATGGTCCGTATCGACCCTGAATGTATGAAATTTATGGTTTTAAGGTGATATGAAAGGCGCCAAAGGAAAATTTAATTAACGTCGTTAAAATAATATTCATTTATACCTTTTTCGGCTGTAACGCTATTGTGGATATTTCAGTGATAACATGAGATGGCGTACTATCCCTAGTAGCATAGAATAATTTCTAAATATTTGTTTATAACCTTTGCTAAATGTCGTAGATTTCTTTTGAAGATATCTGAAATATTTGTTGAAAATCTCAATGACATATTCAGTTTCAGTAATTTATATACATATATAGAAATTATATTTTTTTATTTATGAACATGTAATTAAAATACATTTCTTTTACTTCACGACTATTATCGGACACTTCATTTGGTATCAAAAAACACGAGAAATTTTTCTAATATTTCGTTCCGCTATTTCATTATGGGAGCAAAACGTGTGATTTTGATTTTAAATATTTTTAAAACGTTTATAATGTATTCGGCAGATAATATTTATAAAATACTTGTATTAAAATGAAACGAAATGTTTTGTATATCTGGTAGAAAAATATTAGCAAAACATGGAGCTAATGTTATATAAATATTATAGGGATAATATTCTAAAGTAAACGTTTTGCAAATATTTCAAATGTATGCTAAATATTTACACAACGTACGATATTCGTTAAATATATAGAAAATATAGGACAAATATTTTGTGCTACTAGGGAGTCAAAGGGCGATTTGGCAGTTTCACCCACAAGAACATAATATTTTTTAACCAATCCACCGGGAAGAGCTTTCTCATAACGAGAAATGAAAAATATAATTTTCTCAATTAAAAAAAAATTAAGGGGTGAGCCTCCCCTCAGGCCTTCCATTGGATAGTGGTTTCACCCCCTTAAAGTTTTTAATGGCAGATAAAATAAAATACGTGTCGCTTAGTTTTTAGTCTACTATAACATATTATAAAAGAAATCAAATCGGAGAGATCGACCTGGATACCATCCTTGTTAGTCGTAGTGAGGGATAAATAATAATTAAAAATGAAATTTCAGGACTTTCATTAAGCGCTTCATATTCACGCACTGAAATTTCAAATTATTCGGTGCATTTAATTCGGTGATAAGTTTTATAAATATTTTCACGCCTCAGAGGCCACTTTCATTTCACCTTAAAGCAGGCTACTTAAACAATAGAAGTCGAAGAACTGACAGAGTCGCTTCTTACCGAGAGAAGTCCTTTTCAGCATCCTTTCATCTTCGGAAAAGAAGAAGTCTTTCCCAGCCATATTTAAGTTCCGTTTTCTCTCCGTCTCCCACACTTCCTTTTTCTATGATTAAGGTGATGTGAAAGGCGCCAAGACATTTAACGTAGATAAAAAGACATTCTCCTAACCGATACATCATCTAAAACATCGAACGACGTTACTTATTTCTATTGATATTGACAACTATAACGTACAATGCTGAGTATTAAACGGAATATGGCATACTCCATTTGCCTGATCTTTTAATACTCTAACCTCCTACACCGCTATTTGTTACATATAGCGGCTGCTAAATTTTTATTCAAAAAACACATGTTGCTCACGAAACAAACGGACATTCTCCTGCATTCATTTATCAAACTTATTTTCTAAGCCTTCAAAAGGTGTCAAATATCCAAAATATATACGGACAAAAACATTGGTTCTTGTTATTGATACATGAAACATTTTTCATAGATGAAACATTCTGTATAAAAAGAAATGAAATTACATGGACATCGGGACCTTCCTTAGGATCCCCATATTCCCTTGATAAAATTTCAAACGATTCGTGACACCCAGTTCGGAGAAGTTTCATAAACAATTTGACCTCTAAGTTGCCACTTTCAGGTCATTTTAAGGTGATGTGAAAGTGGCGCCAAAGAGGTGTCGTTTGTAAAAGTTTCCTCCGAACTGAGTGAACCGAATCCTGTCAAACTTGACAATGTGTATGTGGAGGCTATAAAAAATGTCCTGAAACCCATGAAATTTCAATTTTAAGATAATTTGTTTGTAACCATTTTCAACAATTTTAATAAGAAATGAAATTTCTCCAGTTTCAGGACCCACCTTAGGGTCTCCTTATTCACGTGGTGAAATTTGATAAAAATAGGTCCACCCAATTCAGAGAAAAGTATCATGAACGATTGACTCTTAAGATGCCACTTTCACATCCCCTTAAGGTGATGTGAAAGTGGCATCGAAGAGGTTTTGTTTATAAAACTCTTCTCCCAACTCGATTTACCGAATAGTTTGAAACTTTACAACGTGAATGGGGAGCCTATAAGGAAAGTCCTGAAACTCATGAAATTTCAATTCTTTTCAAATTTGTTTACAGGTATTTTAAAAATAGTTTATAAAAAATGAAATTTCGCGAGTTTCAGGGTCTACCTTAGGGTCTCCATATTCACGTTTTACAGTATGAAACGATTTCAGACACCCAGTTCGTAGAAAAGTTTTATGAACGTTTGAGCTTTCGGATGCCACTTTCACATCCCCTTAAGGTGATGTGAAAGTGGTGTCAAAGAGATTTTATTTATAAAACTTTTCTCCCACCTCGATTCACCGAATAGTTTGAAACTTTAGAACGTGAATAGGGAGACTATAAGGAAGGTCCTGAAACTCATGAAATTTCAGTTCTTATCAAATTTGTTTACAGTTATTTCAAAAATAGTTTATAAAAAATGAAATTTCACAAGTTTCGGGACCTATCTTAGAGCCTCCATATCCACGTTTCACAGTATGAAACTATTTCAGACACCCAGTTCGTAGAAAAGTTTTATGAACGATTGAGTTTTCGGATGCCACTTTCACATCCCCTTAAATCTGACATTATAACAGCCGTCTCGTTTTTGCGAGAACTCGTAGCGGAAAAGAGTTGAATCGATCCGAGTAACACATTGCGTTCGCGACGTCGCGGCGCTTATTTCCTTCAGGACATCGAAGGTGGAGGGGTGGGAGGAGGGGGCGGTAAAGGGGTGGGAACCACGTGGCCCGACGCCGTCAAGCAATCGGGAGCCGGGGGCACGTTGACGCCCGCCGACAGACACGGTTCCGTACAGGTGAGTCACCTGCACATTTTCTTGGCACCTTCTATCCTAGTCCTTTTTCCCCTCCTTTTCCTTTTCTTCCGTTTCTCGACCGTGAGCCTCGCGAAGAGAGGGACGTGCGAGATTGCGACCACTGAGCTATATTCATACTGGAACGTATTTCATATGTTCCAATGTTCTTGGCCGGTACTCGTACCTCACTTTAAGCAGCGCTTTTAAACGCCTTTTTGTTAAAATCATCGCTGCTAAAAGACGCCATACTTGAAATTTCTTTTATGACTTCTTTTAGTTAAAAGACCGCTTTTATGAAATTGCGAGATTGCGACCACTGAGCTATACTCATACTGGAACGTATTTCATATGTTTCAATGTTCTTGGCCGTTACTCGTACCTGACTTTTAGCAGCGATTTTAAACGCCTTTTTGTTAAAAATGATCGCTGCTAAACAACGCCATACTTGAAATTTCTTTTACGACTGCTTTTAGTTGAAAGGCCACTTTTATAAAATTTGATATTACAACGTCGGAAAAATGCACTGATCTATATACTAACTGTGTAACTGATACCCAGGGTTGGGTAGATATACTACGTCGTGTAATATACGTAGTTTTATACGCGTGTATTACAACGTATAATGCGTTCCTAGTTTTCCACGTGAGCGCGAAGTATATTATACCCTTCTATTTCTAAATAGAAAGTAATGAATCCAATTAGAAATGTCATATTAACACGTTCCGTGCCACGTGTACCACCGATAATACGCGTTAAGGTGAAGTGAAACCCCCTTCAAATCTGTCGATTCGAATACAACACTTTTTTTTAAGGGTATTAGACCAAACTGTCCGAAACTTTGACACATCACTCCCGATCATCTAAGAATTGTCCTGACACATTCAAAATTTGGTTTTTGGACAACATTTTTTAACTCAGTTCAGACCAGAACCAAAATGGCGTCGAGCTCTCGTATTTCGATCAATATACAATTATCAAAGGCTCTTATATGGGAAACGAAAGGGTCAGGACAATTTTACGACAATTTAGAACACTCTGGTAATCGATAAACTCGCATTTGAACGGGATAAAGGCAAAAAAAGTGTCTTATGCGCTTTTATGCCAAAACGATGGTAATACGAGGTCTCGGAGTGAAAATTTAATTGACCTGGAAATCACAAATGGTGCAGAGGGTCCCTCCGCAGTCAATTAGGGCCCCAGAAGGCATGAATCCAGAGGATTTCTAGAGTTTTACTTCGATTTCTTCATATTTATTGTACGAAAACGGCAGATGGAGTATGCCATTTGGTACAATATCCAATATAATTCGACACAGCTGTCAATATAAAAACGAACGTCGGCAACGTAGGCATTTAGAAAAATCTTCTTTATCGACGTCGATCAAGTTCCTCGACGCGTTTCACATCACCTTAACCTGAGGTGGTACACGGCGTGGCACGGAACGTGTTACACTGGGTTAAATCGCAAGAATTTTAAACACAAGCGCCAAATTAATTATTCCTCCAACATTTTTACGTGTTTACACATGCCCTAAAAGACGTTTATAACCTACCCACTGAACACCAAACCTAACAGTTACGTAACTTAAAACTCACAAATAACATAACGTTTGTTACAATGTAATTACCTAACAGTTACGTAACATAGAGCTAACTAGTTACATGATATTTGTTCCAATGCAATAACTTAACAGTTATGGAACTTGTAGCTAAAAGGTTACATATTTGTTACTACCATATCTATATAAATGTAGCATAACTTTGTTACTCTCATCTTACATTATATTACTGTCCTGATATTACTGTGTACATGCAGCACATATTTGTAACAAAACAAAACTACATTGGTGCTGTCATCTATTTTATTACATCATCGTCATCGTCATTGTCATAATTCATCGTCAAATGTCATAAGATGAATATATGTCATATTTTGATTACTACTCGTATAAAAAAAATGTGATTTTAATTCGTACTCGCGTACACATTATCAGTAATTGTTTGCTAGTCAAATGAAATCATGGTCTTTACATAAAATCAGATAGTTTATCATTACATAATTTCATTGAAAGTCTGATCTGCCATTTAATATCTAACTATTGTCAAGTACCAAAAAATAATTAAAAATAAAAAAAATTATATAATTTTGGATAAAATTGCGTGATCTTTTTATTAAATGTATGAAAAATTAATATTATTTTAAGGTAACTGAAATTATAACATTAATATAACATGTTACATAACATGTTACCTTACTGAGTGGGAAATAATAACTAACATCTAACTTCCATGTTACTTTTATGCTACATAACGTGTTAGTTTTAAAAACGTAACATTTGCCCAACAGTTGTCTAACAGTGTTCACTGGGTAGCGGATACACATATCGGGCATGTGCGGCACCCGCCATGTTGGAAACGTAAAATTCTAAACAATTATTAACGCATGAGCGCAAACTACATATTGGCAACGATACTAAATAAGCAACGTGTGCGCATATGCAAAGGTTTTGAACCATCAGTCCAAGATGGTAAATGTTTAAGATATAAATGATAGAAGAGACATAATTTACGGGTAGAATGGTGCGCAGGACATATTGTAAAAAAGCTTGGGTTAAAACAAAACGATTATCTTTTTTCTCGCAAGTATTTGAAAAAAAATGACAATTTTTTCTTTCCAGTAAATTAATTTGACCCTTCTTATACTATCTGCGGTTGCGTGGCGCGTTATTTTGACGCATGCGCAAATACTACAATGTTAGTTTATGTGATTAAAACAAAATGGTTATCTTTTTTCTCGTAAGTATTCGAATAAAAATGGCAATTATTTTTTTCCTTTAAATTAATTTGACCCCTCTTATACTATCTGCGGTTGCGTGGCGCGTTATTTTGACGCATGCGCAAATACTGCAATGTTAGTTTATGTGCCCACGGCTAGAGGGCTTTGGTCGTTTCAAAACGTTCCGCCATTTTGTAGGATATCAGCTATCCAGTTAGTATATAGATCAGTGGTGTTCGAGGATGAACATAGTTCAGTGATCGTTTCCTACCTTCTCTCTGCCTGTCCACCCTGAAGTCGACCCAGAATCGCACTGAAAATCGTGCTTGGATCGCGAATACCCGAAAACATCGGGATATGTTCGAATGGCCGGTTTCTGTCCTTTGAATTACTGCGAATTTTAACTTGATGCTTTGTCATTGCAAAAATTGGCTCGAGGTGATTCGGAATTCAATGTTTAACCGGCTTTCCTCGCCCCTAACCTGCCTTTTTACGATTCCTTTTAAGGTTAGAAAATAATAAGAAAACTATGAAATACCTAGACCAAAAACACAATCCGTTAACTAAACAAGATGCGTAATTTAAAGAGTTTTGTTAGAGAAAGAATGATTCTTTTAAACTTTTATAAACCATTACGTACAACCCGAGTTTTCCATTTTTAGTTCCATTAGTCAGTAAATAACCTAAATTTTCACGTTCATTAAATTTATTTGTACTAACCTCGGAATGTAATAAGAAATAAATGCAGCGGCAAGTTCACTCGTTAAAAGGATAGTTTTAACTTCTTTAAGGGGATGTGAGAGGGGCATCTGAAAGGTCAATCGTTCATGAAACTTTTCTCCGAACTGGGTGTACCGAATCGTTTGAAATTTTACAACGTAAATATAAGGCTATAAGGAAGGTCCTGAGACACCCATAAAATTCGATTTTTTATAAAAAATGTTAAAATACCTATAGACAAATTTTTAAAAATTTGATGTTGCATGACTTTCAGGACCTTCCTTAAAGCCTCCACGTTCACGTTACAAAGTTTGAAACTATTCGGAAGAAAAGTTCGGAGAAAAATTTCATAAACGAGACCCCTTTGACGCCACTTTCACATCACCTTAAAGCAAGGTTTCAACGATAGCATTGAAACAGTTACATCCTCTAATACAGTAAAACGGTCTCCTCCCTAGACGTAGGCGGTTTTCAGAAAAAGGCCAAATGTAAATGCAGAGATGAGCGGAGAGATGTCGCCATTGTCGAAAGTGAAGCACGGCTCCCTAGCGCCGTGGAACTACTTTCAAAGAGGCGAAATGTTCTCTATCGGTAAAGAAAAACGCGTCTGCAGATTTCAAATACACCACAGTATGGATACAATGAAGTTATCGGCTTTTCGTTTTTAGTATCAGAGTCAACGTAGGTTGGGAAAGAAGACTACGAATACCAAATAAAGTTGTTACGCATAGATGATTGGGTGCATTCGGAGGAGAAAAGCGGTTACCGATGAGTTGGGCACATGTTGGGATTTTCTGCTGAATGGACTGTTCAGTGATCATAATATGACGGCATCCAGTGTTGTGTAACCTAACCTCCTTATAGCACTGACTACTAATATAATTATATTAATTATATTAATTATATTAGCAGTCAGTGCTTACAGTACATGTACGTCGTGTATTATTTCAGCTACTTCGTTACCTGAAGAATTTTGCACCTTTTCGTTATATACATCAACAACTTCTATAGATGACATATTTTTAGAAAAATATTCGCAACAGAATGTAACGTCTGAAAAAAAACACATGTTCATACTTACTTAATTATTTATTTATTATTAGTTTTTTGGTCTATATTAGGAAGATAGAATACATTAGATTAAGGTTAAGTATACATTTCGAAATAACGTACCATTTTGTAACATTTTATCCACTTCTGCACTCTACTACATCGTATCGAAGACCATTTACTTCATACATTTCACTGTAATAACTGATTTCATTTGCCATCCTTGCTTCTTTAACTTGAATCTACACGGTTTGAATTTGAATTTGATATACCCAACACGTTGAGGGTAGGTAGCGTAAAAAATTTGTGATATATAAAATGGCGTCTGATCAATAAACATGTTGAGTGAACGTACCCATTCAGCAGATGAGCGCTAACCGATCACTCAACAGTTGTCTCTTCTGAATGCACCCATTGACTACGACGCGGCACTAGAGTTCTAAATCCAGTAAGTTACGTCAGAAACAAAGAGAAATTCCCGGTAACTTATCGGTAATTTCTCCAAAGCCTTTTTTATCGAGAAATTATGAGAATTTTAATTTTTCAACGGAATGAACGAGAGGTTTCGATTAGCTATAGAGAAACATCGTAGAGGGGAATTTCCGTTGTACGTTCTCCGTAGCCAATCAAAACCTCCCATTCGCTTCGTCGCAGAATGAAATATCAGTTCATTTGAAACAAATCGCATGGAATTTTCCGTGAAGTTGTACATACGTGAATATTTTTAGCTGGAGGTAAATACCACCCTATAATCAATATTTTCTAATGGTAATTATTACTCTTTAGCTTGAACTTTGAAGTGATTGAAAAAAAAAAAGTTATTTAAACGAAGAAACCTAAAGTATAAATAACAAAATTAACGTTCTCTTAAATTCTCAATGTTCCCGGTAACTTACGGTATGTTTCACAGTTACCTTCTCCAATTTAATGTTACCGAGAATTTTCGAACTCTACGCGGCACCCACGTATACCCTATTTTACCGATCACGAAGATTTCGCCCCTTTGAAAGTAGTTCCAATTTTTATAGAGGTGTAAAGGGCGTAGAGGGCGCCACGGAGCCATGCCTCCCTTTCAAACAATGGCGTAAAACATCTCCCCGCTCATCTCTGGTAAATGATAAATGACAGAGCTACGGTCACCCTTAGATACACCAATGAGTGCTTTATATGGGATACAACCGAATTTCAGCAGGGATTTTTAGACTCTGCTCAGGGCCGCGTTAAAAAGAGCTCATTAAGAAAGGATTAATCCGATACGTTCATCATAAATTCTTCGATTTCTTTTTAGACGAAGCATCGACGAGTAACGGTCAGTCCACGTAAACTGCGTTTTGTAGCATGCTACATTGTGCCTTTTGAAGTTGATCATTACTAAACATTATTGTTGTGCTATGACGATTGCTGTTGTACCTGTGCACCACATACGCAAAACGACGGCTTGGGTTTCCCGGTAGTAGTGAAATTCCCCAAACCGAGGTCTTCATTTTTATAGGTTAACACGTCACCTTGATCCGGCCACTCGGAGATAGTGCACTCATTACCTTTCTATCGTGTAGTTTTCTGTATTATACCATTGTTTGAGCGTAAGAAGGCTATCTCGTAGATATCCCGTTGTGCTTTCGGATCAATCAATTAATTCGAAGCCTTGAAACTCTTTATCATCCGTTATTGCCGATCGGATGATCGGGGTCATGAGACGAGATGAACGGTAGAGTTAAATTCCTTACCCGAGATTTCACCGCGGAATTTTAATCATTTTCATTGATTTATTCAGGTGGTATCATCGACGAACGGGGAATTGGCTAATGATGATCCCACTGCTGGTCATTCCAATACTCCAATTACTGCACCTCAAGAGGTCGAAATGATCGACGAAACCAAGTAAGTATTTCACCCATTAGTACCTATCTCTTTTCGCTTAACTTCAATCTACTTCATGTGCGAGAATGAATGTCATGAGTGCGTCATGAATCATTTTCGTTTTGACCGCATTTTCATATGGTCACACTTTAACATCCACTACATTAAACACATTCGTTGCATGACCTACAATGACACACGTGAGCCAGGGTTTGATATTTTTATCGAATATTTCATTTAATAACTTTTCTTCAATAATCTATATGTAAGCTATAAAATTCCGCTGGTTGCAGGGGGAATGGTACATAATTTTCCCTGCGCTCCCAAAAATGTTAGTGCAGGGGATATTTTAAATAAAGCAGAGTGTTTCGTCGTTAACTATTTTACCAACGGTAAAATTTGTTAGCAAGTTATTGAGTTATTTTTTAGCGTAATACTAGTCAAAAATTCACCTGTACGACCAAATATCCAGCCAGCCCCGTAATTGAGCTAGGTTAGGTTAGCTGTATGGCAGGGTTGGCATAAATCCGATTTTTTTACAAAAAGCCAAGCCCAATGGTTTTAACCGGTTTAAACCATATTTGCCATTTTTTCGCATAAATCGTTGCCTAAAAGACAGTGGTTAAAACCTGGTTTAAGCCATATTTAAATCGGGTACTTTCCATTGTTTTATCCCGAGGGTGCGCAGGAATGAAAATTTGTTTGAATGCTATCTACACTGTAGATCGTTTAGAATTTATTTTTATTTGTTTACATGGAAGTGGAGCGCATGTGTAGGTACAGAGTGCATACAATATTAGAATAAATGCTACGCTGCATACATCCTGATGGATTTTATAACATGGTCCATTCTTTTTTCCTGAGCGTGCACAGGAACGAAAATATGTTTGAATGCTATTTACCCCTTAGATAGGTTAGAATTTATTTTAATATGTTTGGAGGTGAGTGGAGTACACGTGTAGGTGCAGGTTACATACAATATTAAAATTAATTCTTCGCTACATACATTCTGATGGATTTTATAACATAATCCATTGTTTTATCCTGAACGTGCACAGGAACAAAAATATGTTTGAATGCTATCTACCCCGTAGATAGGCTAGAATTAATTTTAATTTGTTTAAAGATGAGTGGAGTGCATGTGTAGCTACAGTGTGCATACAATATTAGAACAAAATTCTATGCTGCATACATCCTGATGGATTTTATGACATGGCCCATTGTGTTATCCTGAAGGCGCGCAGGAACTAAAATTTGTATGAATGGTATCTACACCGTAGATAGGTTAGAATTTATTTTAATTTGTTTGGATGGGAGTAGAGCGCATGTGTAGGTACAGGGTGCGTACAATATTACAGTAAATTCTACGCTACATACATCCTGATGCATTTTATAACATGGATTTAACCGGTTAAAACCCTGGGTAAAACCGGGTGGATTTTATGTAATGTATTCTATTTACTAGAAAAAAACGGAGAAAACCGCTGATTTTCATGGGTCAAACTTCGCCAACCCTGCTGTGTGGAGATATCTTGAGGGATACGGTCTTCCTCCACCCTTCCGTTTCCTGATAGCGGACAGAACAAACGACAAAACGTACCGGACCGACTTTGCATAACTTGAATGGATACAATCACAACCTTCCAAAAATATAATGTTCCTTATAGAGTCAGATTTTTAAATAGTTTAAAAAAAAAAGTATATAAATAATGAGTAAACATCCGTATTAGCAGTTCACGAAACTATCATGGCTGTTTAACGTGATCTCCGCCGTTACTCGTGCAACACTTATGGCACTGTTACACAAAATCACTAATGAAAATTAAAAAAAAGAGCCACACAGGGAAAGTTATACACTTGTCAACTTCACACTCTCCCTGTGGAAATTACCTTTAAGGTGAAGTGAAACATCCTTCAAATCAGTCGATTCGAATAAAACACTTTTTTTTAAGGATAAAAAACCAAACTGCCCGAAACTTTGACACATCACTCCTGATCATCTAAGAATTGTCTTGACACATTCAAAATTTTGATTTTTCAACAAAATTTTTTAACTCAGTCCAGAGCAGAACCAAAATGGCGTCAAGCTCTCATATTTCGATCGATATACAATTATCGAAGGCTCTGATATGAGAATCGAAAGGATCAGGACAATATTACGACAATTTAGAACACTCTGGTAATCGATAAACTCGCATTTGAACGGGATAAGGGCAAAAAAGTGTTGTATGCGCTTCTTTGCTAAAACGATGGTAATACGATGTCTCGGAGTGAAAATTTAATTGACCTGGAAATCACAGATGGCGCAGGGGGTCCCTCCGCAGTCAATTAGGGCCCCAGAAGGCATGAATCCAAAGGATTTCTGGAGTTTTACTTCGATTTCTTCATAATTATTGTACGAAAACGACAGGTGGAATATGCCATTTGGTACAATACCCAATATAATTCGACCCATCTGTCAATACAAAAACGAACGTCGGCAACGTAGACATTTAGAAAAATCATCTTTATCGACGTTGATCAAGTTCCTCGACGTGTTTCACTTCACCTTAATTAGCTAAACTCGGCATTTTTGGGTGCAAACATGCGAAGCTCTCACGAGGAGATTCTCCTCACAGAGAAACTCCGAGAGGCTACCGAGTATTAAATTAATTTTTCATCCTCTCTCCATAGAAAAGTCCGACTTTCAGTGCCTGTCGAACATGCCGAAAGTTACCTATTACATGCTACATCTCACTTTACCTCCCGAGGGGGAAAGTAGACATTTTCTGCCCGCATAAAAGTGGAGTCCGAGAGGGAAAGTATGGTTGGATAATTGGTAGTATCCCACTGAACACTGAACTTAACAGTTACGCAACTTAAAACTAACAAATAACATAACGTTTGTTACAACGTAATAACCTGACAGCTATGTAACATAACTAGTTACATGACATTTATTACAATGCAGTAACTTAACAGTTATGGAACTTGTAGCTAACAGGTTACATAACATTTGTTCCTATCATATCTATATAAATGTAGCGTAACTTTGTTACTCTTATCTTACATTATATTACTGTCCTCATATTACTGTGTATATGCAGTACATATTTGTAACAAAACAGAACTACATTGGTGCTGTCATCTATTTTATTACATCATCGTCATCGTCATTGTCATAATTCATCGTCAAATGTCATAAGATTAATACATGTCATATTTTGTTTACTACTCGTATGAAAAAATGTGATTTTAATTCGTACTCGCGTACACATTATCAGTAATTGTTTGCTAGTCAAATGAAATCAAGGTTTTTCTATAAAATCAGATAGTTTATCGTTACATAATTTCATTGAAAGTCTGGTGTGCCATTTAATATTTAACTATTGTCAAGTACCAAAANAAATTATTGAAACTAATTATGTCATTGAGATTTTCAACAAATATTTCAAATATCTTCGAATGAAATCTACAAGAAATCTTAAAAAATCTGTCGCTTGAGATATTTAGCAAAGATTACAAAGAAATATTTAGAAATTATTCTATGCTACTAGGGGTTAGCTTCGAAAATTTAACATTTACCTAACAGTCATGTAACAGTGTTCAGTGGGATATCAATCTTTTGGAATCGATGGGGTGGTGGATGGAACGTTTTATTAACAAATTCCCTGTACAACTAAATAATTTATAATTGTTTATGACAAGTATGTGTAAACAATTTCAAAAAGGTTTACATTTTCCGGTGTCACCGCAAGATCGTCAGGTCACGTCATCATTCGGCAGGCATTTAAAAACCGGACTTCCGGTTTTCAGGGAGGATGAAAAATGGTATACGTATCCGGAAGTTCACTATATGATTATAATCCCGTGTGGCAAACTCACCCTCGACCGTAATCGCCTACTTTCCTCCCTCGTTATGTAATGTATCATTTCAATATCCTGTATATCTTAGAGTATACAGGGAATCAATGGCGGCTCGCTATAAAGGGCCAAGAAGGACTACTATAAAGAACCAACCCTTTAAGATGATATAAAAGGCGCTGCGAAATTTAATCGAGGTCGATAAGTTAAAATTCATCTATACCCTTTTTGATGGGAACGTCATTTTGAATACTCAAGAGGTAACATAAATTGGCGCGTCCGGTTACCGACATTTATATTTATATTGGAGTCTTTTACAGGTCCACGTTGAGAATTGTACGAACTGAAGCATTCCATATGTCATTTTAGTAAAGTAATGATAAACAGATCGATGTAAAACTGCCGAAATCCCGTGTAGTAATTATTCTAATGACTGTTTAGGACCAGCGTCGCCATCTGTGAGGTTTAGCTGCAACTAAATTTTTGCTCTAAAAACACTGAATCAGCCTACATATATATATAAATTCTTCGAGCTAGGTCCTGAAACTCTTCATTTGCGATTCTAACTCTCCAAGAACCGTAAAACATCGAAAACATGCGCGGACCACGCCATGTTGGTTCTAGTCCATGATAAGTAAATACATTTCTTATGAAAAATGAAATTGCATGAGTTTCAGGATCTACTCTAGTGCCTTCATATTCACGTGGTAAAATTTGAAACGAATCGGTGCACTCATTTTGGAGAATACTTTCACCAACGATTTGACTTCTCAGATATATCAGAAAGAATCAGCCGATATACATATATTGCTGAATGCTGATTCTTTCTGATATATCTGAGAAGTCAAATCGTTGATGAAAGTATTCTCCAAAATGAGTGCACCAAATCGTTTCAAATTTTACCACGTGAATATGGAGGCACTAGAGTAGATACTGAAACTCATAAAATTTCATTTCTCATAAGAAATTTATTTACTTATCATGGATTAGAACCAACATGGCGTGGTCCGTGCATGTTTTCGATGTTTTACGGTTCTTGGAGACTTAGAATAAAAAATGATGAGTTTCAGGATCTAGCTCGAAGAATTTATATATATATAAGCTGATTCAGTGTTTTTAGAGCAAAAATTTAGTTGCAGCTAAACGTCACAGATGGCGACGCTGGTCTCAAACAGTCG